GGAAGGAAGGAAGGAAGGAAGGAAGGAAGGAAGGAAGGAAGGAAGGAAGGAGTGAATGTCGCTGAGTTTGTGGAGCAAAGATACGGACTTTCGATTTCCGTGGACGAGGGTAAGGTTGATGGGTGAAACGGAAGCCTGTTTTTCTCTTTCAAGATATCCCAAACTGCAATTTCAAAATGCGCGGCCTTAACGTCGATTTTTGCTTTGGGTTGCCAAATGTTTGCCTTAAACTGTGTTGGGTGTCAACGAGCTGCGGGACAAGAAGGGAAACCTACAAGCAATTTTGTGTTCTGTTTTCTTCATCCTTTGGATCTTAGTGGGAGAAGCTTTACTCTAGGGGTGAGAGGAATGGTCTGAGGCGATCCCAAAAAGTCTTGGAAAGGAAACGGTCACGTTTCTGTCGTGCTGTTCAAAAGACTGTAACAGGCTGAAATGACACTCATTTCAGCCTAAACGGCATGATTTGAATTTCTGCCTGTCACAGAGAATCAGGTCCTTTCCACACTCACGCATGATCACCCCATTATTCATTCCTTGTTTCCTGTGAATCCGCACAACGATGCTGACAAACGGTCCTATTCCAGTGGGGTTTTTTTTTCTGTTGAACTTTTCGTATTTATTTTCTCACTTTTTTTTTTTAAAAAAAAGAACACTTGACACTTTGGTTGGTTGGTTGGTTTTTTAGAACGTGGAGGACTTCTTTCTCTTTAATTAAAAACTTCCTGTTTAGAGATTCCATGTTTTGCTGCTTCATGCCAAGCACAGCGGAGAGCTTTTCTTTTGATTTGCACAGAGCAAAACAGCCCTATTTTCTAATTCAAAAAAGAAAAGAAAGAAAGTTAAGGGGAGGAAATCAAAGTTGGAAACCTCTCCTAGACGTATCTGTTACGAGAACAAAGATCCAGGATGCGGAGCAATGAAAAGATAGTTTTCCACTCACTGTGCTCAAGGAAGTATGATAATCAATGGAACCTGCAAGGAACAAGCTTTGGGTGAACAGTGGAAGAGATAAATGATAAACTCAACTTTCTTCGGAGTAAATATTCCAAAAGGTTCTTCGCCAAGGAGAAAACCTAGCATAAAAATTTAGCGTAACGCAGCAGCATCAGCTTGAATGTGGTTTCTTGCTTGTTTGCTGAAAAACAGTGCCTTGGGTTTGTAATAGGGTGCAATCGTGGAGCAAAGAAGTATCTTTAGTGCCAGGATTTGGGTTGGGTTGGGCTGGGCACGGTCTGCCCTTTTATCCAAAAGCAAGAACTGCTGCTTCTAAAAAAAGGAGAAAGATGTCCTGGATTTGGCCACTCTGCTAGGGGGAAATTGCTGACCTTGGATATCCCAAAAGATCTCGGCAGACCCTTGGAGAGGTTCTTGGTAGGGAGACCACCGGGAAATCCTAGGCTGGGAAAGGGATATATTCTATCAATAAACTAGGGCTTCTCGGAGACGATTTCCCCCTGGATTTCCAAGAACTGAACTCGGTTTCTCCCCCTGGCATTGTGAACAGCAAAATGAATTTGGTAACCCAAAGCTGGCTGAGATGCGAGGGCATCATTTAACTTAAAGTGCAAAAGAGGCTCACGGCTTTGTCGGCGCGCCCTGTGGCCCCGTCCGAACGCCTCCTTGCTATTTCAAAAATTCTCTAATAGTAATGACGTTTGTGTCGGTAGAGACGCGTGGGTGGGCAGCTCATAGGCGTGATAATCACACTCAGAGGCACACTCAGAATCCTAGGAGGTTGACCCATGGTTCTCCTTGCAGAGCTTGGACAAACTTGGTTAGTTTTCCCCCTGCTTTTGATCTCAGAGGCGAAAAGATTTGGGCTCTGGGCTTGGAAAGATCTATTTTCCTCTCCCCTAATTGCTTTGGGGCAGGCCAGAGGCCCCCCAGCTGCTGCGTTGTCTGAACTTTCGCAGCTCGCACAGACTTTAAAAATAATCAGGAAGCCGAAAAGCCTCTTTCTCGGTATGCTTTTGCACAATCTGCCCCTCCAGTCCCCCAAATTAGACCGCAGCTATTTGAAGGTCGTGCTTGTCTAGCACCCGATGTAAGTGTGCAAGGCCCTATTCAAAGGCACCCTCGCTTGCACTCTTAGCATGCCACTCGCAAAACACACACCCCTGTTCAAGTCTGGAAAGTCGACTGGGGGAGGACAACAGACCAACCACAACGGAATTCTTTTTTCTATTTCAAAGAGGAGGACGGATCATGTGTTAACGCGGTTCTCCACTCATGGGGTTTCCTGTTTTTCAAAAAAGAGAATCAGGCAGGCTTGTTCTTAAGAACATTTCAGCCGGCTCTTTGTCAGTCCTGTTTCTGCACAAAACCTGCCCGAGACAGGAGCGATGTTACACACAATACAACAGCAGATGGAAAGGACAGGTGTGGCCAAGACACTGGGGAGGATTAAAGACAGTTCCCGATAAGGCTGTGCCAAGTCGCCCCAACCTAGTAAAAAAGGCCCTGTGCTGCTCCCTGTTCCCGACTCTAAATTTGAAGATCAGGCTTGGAAGGGATCTTGAAGATGATCTGGTCCACCAGTTCTTGAGACGTCTGTTCCATTAGTGAACAGCTTCTACTGGTAGGACTTATTTCCTGATGTCTGGCCCCAAACGACTCCTTTGTAATTTAAACCCACAACTTCTTGTCCTGTCTCCTGGAACAATTCTGAATCATTGTCTTCTCCATCCTTGTCCTTGAGATACTTGAAGACCACTACCGTGTCTCCTCAAAAACTTCTCCTCTCTAGGCTAAATGGTCCTAATACCCAGCTGTTCCTCCTAAGTTTATTCTTCCAGGCCCCTTGTCTTCTTCGTAGCTGATTTTATGTCAGAACTTCCAACACCCAGATGTATCTTCTTGAAAGGGACCGATGTACAACATTGGTGACAGCCACTCCTAAAGACACCTGAACTGCTCCTCATGGGAGACTCCAGCTTTCATCAGCCACAGCCAGTTAGCATGATGGGAGTTGCAGGTGGACCACATAAATCTTTCTCACCATGGTTTTCTCCCTGAACAATGGTGGTCCTTTAAAACACTACGAAATCCCAAACGTGGCCTTTTCTGTCTCTATAGGGGGAGGGCAAAGTTCAGGAATCAGAGGTCAGTACTCTCATCTTGGCAACTAGAAATGGGTGGGTGGGTCTCACATGCCTCCCCCTGCCCCAGTTTTATCTTAGCATGCTATCCATGAGATTCAGGAGCCTTTTGAGGAAGTCCCTCTCAAAGCAATTCCTTTACAGTTGCATTTTAGCCCTGCTGGATTTCCATCTCTCCTTGTTCCCTGGGCAGACTATTCCGCGCTCCCACCATACACACCATTTTTCCCCGACTTAGGCCGAAATGGCTGTGCTCGGGGGGGGTTGGGGGGGTGAGGATAGCGGGAATTGTCAATACTTTTTCTCTTTGCCATGGCTGAAAACTGCAAGCAGTTCTTTTTTCTGGGCACGACGCTCAGGAAAGTCTGAAGATTTATTGAGATGGAGAGGAAAGGAGTTGCAAGAATTACAGCAATTGAATTAGTTCCCTGTAAGAAGTCATCTAGCCCCATAAATATCGAGGCAGAGTCTTTCTGATCCTCTAGCAGCCTTTCACGGCATGTCTTTTCACTGACAACGGAAACGTTTGCAGCTGGCATTTATATGACAGTCTCCTGAAGCTTTATCAATCTGGATATGAATCATTTAGGTTGGGAGGGCTGGAGATAGGAAATGCAGGTGAAATGGGGGGCAAAGAGTGAAGGTTCCCTCGGACCATCTTCAGTCCCAGACATGATAGTATAAAACAGTGTTTCTCAAACTTGGCAACTTTAAGATGTGTGGACTTCAACTCCCAGAATTGCCCAGCCAGCATGCTGGGAGTTGAAGTCCATGCATCTTAAAGCTTCCAATTCTGGGCATTGAAGTCCACCCATCTTAAAGCGTGCTGGCTGGGGAATTCTGGGAGTTGAAGTCCACGCATCTTAAAGCATGCTGGCTGGGCAATTCTGGGAGTTGAAGTCCACCCATCTTAAAGTTGCCAAGTTTAAGAAACACTGGTAGAAAAGATTCAGCCTCATTTGTTCTTCTGAGCAAGAGTGACCCAAGATCCTTTTCTCTTTCACTGCATCACTGTGAACCGTTTTTGATTTGGACCTGCCAGCTGCTAAGCATCTCCTAGGTACCAGTTCACAAAAAATGCTTTGGGAGAGAAGGGCCAAGGAATTCAGCCAGAAGGTGGAGGGTTATGGGAAAGGCACATCGGCTTCATTCGGGGGAAAGCAAAGCCCGTGAAGAGGAACAGGATGAAAGGGTGGCCGTAACCCTTCCACGACCAACCTTCTGCCTGGATTTTGATGCAGCAATAAGAACTGTCTTTTTTTTTTTTTTGCAAAAATACTGTGAATTTATTGTGTGTGGGTTTTTTTTAAGTACCAGGAATGGGCACTTAACAAGAGATGTTGAAATAATAAAAAAGAAATAAAGACAAAATGCCACACCTCTGCTTTTAGGGAAATAAAAAAAAAAAAAAGAACATTTCAAAAGAGCAAAGAAATAAAGCAGATTTTTTCAAAGAGAAACGGACTGAAGTGATTTGATTTGCCCGTTAAGTTCTTGCGAGCGAAAGAAAAAAAGGAGGAAGAGGAAGGAAGGAAGGAAGGAAAAAATAAAACAGAGCCTGGGGGAGCTAGATCAGATACTTAAAGCCGTGAATCTCCCTCGCTTGCAAGTCTACAACTTTAACGCCAGTTTCCAAACCTCACCCAGTCAATCCTCCAAAAGAAAGAGTTGGAGATATAGAGTGGCTGAGAGGTGGTAGAACCCGGCAGAACCCAGCTGTGCCCACCCATGGTTATCA